CGTTGCTCGCGCTAACCCCAAGGTTAAGGGAGAGGTCGCAGTCACGGAGGGGTTCGTTCCTTTTAAGGTCCCGGGTTCCCCCGTTGTTGACAAAACTGTGTTTCCCTCTCCTTTGAGTGGTTATCAGCCGTAACGCTTTTCGGGTAAACAAACCTCTCCGTGACTGCGACCGTTTGGTCGCACATGGAAGCCGGCCCTCACCGCGGCACACGCGGTGGTAAGGGGCCGCGTGCCCGTTTATTCAATACTCTGCAGCAGATCGTCGTCGACGAGTACAAGCGACAGAACAGACGATTCCGGTGGGTCAGGTTTGCAGACGCCTCGAAGCAACAGGTCGAGGCGCTCTTTTCCTGGCGTGAGTCATTGGATAGTTGGCACCTGTGGGATTTTGACCAAGAGGCTTTCGAAGTGATCCGGGCCGCGGACAACGCTTATCAGCAGCGTCTCGCATTGGTTGAAACCACAGGTGTGGTCTTGCCGCAAGGTGTGCCATCTCAGGATCAAGCCGCAGCCTCAGGCGCGGCGGAAGCAGCGAGCAGTGCAGCGGACTGGCTACGACCTCCGACGCCTCCTTCAGCTTCCTCCTGGTTGCAAGATTCGCGCACTCCTTTGCCTCGCATTCGACCATCAGCAGAGGAACGACAAGTGTTGCGGGGCGCCGCCAAGACAGCGCTTCGCGGGGTGTACGCTAAAGCTGCGGAAACGCGGCGGGAGAGCAGCAGGGAACGGTCAACACAAAGATCGAGGTCCCCATCGCCCCGAAGGTCGAGGTCTCCATCATCACCTCCGAGACGAGGACCAACTGCTGCTACCCCTGTGGAACAACGGGCACACAGTGTTGAACCCGCGCTTGCGCGGGAGGGCAGGCCATCTAGGACTTCCCTTGCCACACGGCCCATTGTATTGGCTGCACAGAATAGCATATACCCTGTGACACGATTTGACGAGCACGGCACCTGGGTACTCGTTCGGGAGGCTTCACAGCCACGTGAGGCGGCATCTCAACGCAGAGCACAGCGGACGTCTGGACAACTCCGTCAGGCTGACCCGTATTTGCTCGCGGACGAGACGTGGAGAGATCCCCCAAGAAGATCATCCACGAGCTCGCGATCACGATCTCCTGATCGACGACCAGCGCCAGCGGAGCACTTCCGCCTCGACGCCTACAGCTCAGAAGAGGAACCGCCGCAAGACGCGGAATCCATCAGAACGGGCAGGGCAGCCTACGTGCCTCGGCGCGTATACGAGGCGCCGACTCACACTGAGCCCATCGCTTTGCATAGCCGGAGAAGTGGAGCAGTTCAACCGCCGCCACCAAAGGCCGTCCCAAAGGAAGGAAATCCCCAGGGCAGCTTCTTCGGTACCGGCAAAAGCAGATATTCCGAGGAAATCACCGCCACGAGCAAGCTCTCCTATTCGGACTCAGAGTGCATTCGGGTACAAGGCGCCTCCGCGGGGTTTGAACAAGGCCGAACCCAGAAGCAAATCGAGCTCAAACCCACCACAATTTGGGTATATCGTCAAGCCGCCACCGCCGCAGGTCGTTAAAGCAGCTGCTGCTAGCGCTGCAACTTCCGAGGCTGGCACACGCTTTCGATCGCCACCAAGAAGGCCGCCGCCTGCGCCACCCCCGCCGCCTGGAAGGCCTGTGCCGCCCAAGGAGCTTGTCATCGCTCTTGACTGGCACGGAGTTCTTGACGTTGGGCAGCAGGGACCCCACCTCAACCCGGAGGTGATCCGACATCTCGTTCAGTTTGCAGCGGACTACGCACCTATAAATTTTATAGTGCTATCCTTCGTGGGCAGGGCTGCAAGCGAGTATCGCCGCCGCGAGTTCCAGGTCGCCCTGGAGCACGCGCGGGCGACATCTGGACTCACTTTCTCTGCGATAAAAATCGTACACGAAAGGTTGGGTAGGGGAGGCAAAGCAGACGCCCTTCAGGGGCTGGGCGTTCACGCCCTTATTGACGATACAGCATCGATTGTCCGTGAAGCTCAAAAGACAGGCATCGCGGCGTTCCGCAACTTCCCGCATTTCGGGCCGGGCGGATTTGCCAACGCGCTTGAGAACCTTGGGGAGTTTATCGAGTCCCGGAACAGACAATTTATTCCGGCGGCAAGGGGCCTGCATCCATCGCAGTACCTCGAGGAGCTCCACCGATCTGCATCCCAGTTGCCCGCCAGCCGGGTACTTCGATAGCCTTTCTTGCAAGCCGTTAAAACCGTCGCTTTGCGCGGTACAGCATCTTTGCAGCTACAGGCATTCGATTTGCAGACAAATTCTCAATACAGCTTGGCAACATCCCTCGATAAAGCACCATAGTGCGGCAGTGCGGATCAATCAATCTACAAGTACAATTACAAATACAGAATTCATCAGGTGCAAAGCAGCAGGGCGTATTTTCTTGAGTGGCTCACTTGAGCGTTTCGCAACCAGCTGCCAATCCAGGGATATCTCCTCGTAGCACCTTTTGACACGCTGCTCAAAGCGCGTGGAGCTAGCTTCGTGTGAGTGCAAAAGTTGCATTGCTGTGTCATGGCTTCAACGGGCTTATCACCGCCATCAGAACCCCGTTCAAGGTCAACCCCAAATAGGGATTCTGAACCGGATGACCCTGACCTAGCCATGGTTCCTGCAGCTATGTCCACAGTTCGCACATCCACACCTCAACGAGCAGCCCAAACACGACCATCATCACCCCCGAGTGGTCCGATCGTGTCAGAACCGACATCATCCGAAGCTTCCCCAACCATTCAGTTTCCTTCACAGGGATCGCAATTACCTGACCCGATGACTAACGTACCCGCTGCGGCATTTATAGCTGGAGCTGCGGTGCAGCAAGCTCATCGAGCATCCGACCTCGCTGCTCAGGCAGCCAATCACGCCTTGCACCAACAGCAGGCCGCCGACCAGGCGAGACAAGAGGCCGGATGGATCAGGGAAAGGGCTGTAAGAGAAGTTTCAGACGTTAGGGTTCAGGCCGCTCAGCTAGCTTCGCAAGCACAGCAGGCTGTACAAACAGCACAACAAAGTGAGGCTCAGGCTAGGCAACTAATCGAGCAGACACGACAGGAAGCCATTGGCCATGTCGAGAACGCACGACAGGTTGTTAATGCCACTCAACAGGACGCTCAGCATGAGGTTCAACGCATTGTTCAAGAGGCTCAACAGGCAATCTCACAAAGAGAACAAACCATTGCCAGTCAAGAGCATACCATTCGTGGATTGTCCCAGGAAAATTCTGTGATGCATCAACGACTTGGTGATCTCGAACGTGTTGTTGCGCACCTCACCCAACAAGCTCGTGCGACCCCTGTTCCGATGCAAGAGTCCCCGCCAAAAGCCGCATCAATAGCCGAAACAGCTACGGAAACAAGCGCGGCTAAAGCCTCAAGTCAAGGCACAGTCCCCCCAGGAACCCATCAGCCGGTTGGAGCACCTCAGGTTTCAGATTCACAAGATGCCTCCGGTGTTGCCGCATCGTCGCAAAGGAATGCTTTTACAAGTACTATCCCCGACCCTCCGTGTGGTTCTGTTCAAAGTACAGGACTTGGTCACGATGCCCCAGCTGATTCAAGGGACCCTGGTGGGGGTGCAACAAGTCAACATCTCGCAGGTCATTCCGCAGTGCTAGGAGCAGCGCCCTCCGTTGGAGACGCAGCCCCCGGCGCGTCAAGGACTAGCGGGTTGGAAGGGATCAAGCCGATGTGAGAGTGCAAGTGACGGCTTTAGCGGAAATGGTTCAGCAGCTTTCCCAATTGGTTGCTAATCAAGTGGCTCCGCCACCTCCGCCTCCGGCCGCACCACCTCCAGCGCCTCCCATGCCCCTTGCAGGGGCGCCGCCTCCGCCGAAAGCTGGCAACGGCACTCATGTTCCGCCAGTACCAATCACAATGTTGGGAGGGTTGTACTCGTCATCCCCACAAGCGCCATCGGCAGCAAGCTCCGACACATCATCAGACTCTGATGGGGATGATGATGCCCCATAATGTCGAGTTTGCGGCGGCAGCCATGAAGACACGGATTGCCCATACCTCACCATGAATGGTGGTGGGGGAGGTGGGGGAGGCTTTGGCCAGTTCCCCAATGCAGACCCGTCTCAAGCTGCCGATCCCAGTGTAGGCACGACCGCCGTAGATCACGCCGCACATGAGGAATCCGTTGTTCGCGTCAAGGACCTCAAGGATCTCGTGTTACCATCCCCTCCGGAGAACGCTGGACAGGCTAGAGGTTTCGTCAACCAAGTTTTGATGGCCATCGGTCGACTCCAGAAGACCCCCGGAGATGAAGTTTACCAGTGGGCCCAAGCATGCATGTCCTCCACCGAGCAAGAACTCATCGCGGACAAGCGTTTCCCACGGTTAGATCGTGAAGTAGCCGCAAAGCTCCTTAAAACCTGCCGTAAAGGTAAGTTCGGGCTCTTGTTTCAGAATATGGTTGAACAAGAGAAAAATCTCGTCAGGTGGGATGCCCGTAGGGAGAATCATGTTGCGTGCCATCTTCAAGCACTTTCAGTTAGAACGAGGTAGGCTCGGAACCTTAGGAGGTCGCAACTTGTTAAAG